CACGCCGAGCCCCTCCAGGTACGCTTTGCAGTAGTGGATGAGGTCGAGGTTCGAATTGCGGCTCGTCGTGTCGAAGGCGACAAGCTTCGCCAGCCACTGAGTGTGGTTCATGTGCTGTGTAGCCATTGATGAGTGTGTCAAGCGTGTCTTCTTTTCTGGAGAGGAGAGTAGGGATAGAGAGACGCGGTNCCTCCAGGTACGCTTTGCAGTAGTGGATGAGGTCGAGGTTCGAATTGCGGCTCGTCGTGTCGAAGGCGACAAGCTTCGCCAGCCACTCAACAGGGCTCAGGGGCACATAGCGTGCGTCGCTCTCGTGCGTAGTCGTCTTTTTGGTATTGGTGCAGTTGAGAGTGTGACTGCCTTGCGTTTTCTTGCTACGAGACGTGGAAGGGGAGCGTCACCGCACCAAACGGCAACAGCAGCAGCGCAATGCGCAGCAAGGAAGGAAAGGACGCAGATGCCCAGGCAACCCCCGTGCACGGAGGAACTCACGGACGCACACTAAGAGACACTAATTATCTACGTTGCTCTTCACAGCAAGCGCCGTTCTCTCGCACTTCAACTCTTCTCGTTGATTCACCCATTCCTCACATTCGTCTTCAGCATCGCATTCTCTTTAAACGCACACATGCACGCGCACTAGCCTCTTTCTTCGCTTCGTTCCAATTTTTTTTCTTGTTTTTCGTTTTGTTTTCTTTTCTTGCGTTGCGTGTGCCTGCGCATGGGAGGGGAGGGGAGGGGTCGTGTTGCCGCAGCCGCACCCAAAACCCCCGCAGGCGTTTGTGGCGAAACGCGGGAGGAGGAAAGGGGGCTTGCAAAATCGTTCTTCATTAATACGTGGGGAGGAGCAAGACCAAAGACAACAACAACAACAACAGCGATGGAAGAAGAAAACAATATACGCCCTGGCAGTATAAGCGGCAGCGGGGGGAGGAGGGGATAGGAACCGGAAGTCAGGCAAAGCCCACGCCAGCAACAGCGGCGCAGGGAGTCCTCACGCTTGCGGCAGGACGAGGATGGACGAGACGCGTGGCGCACAGGCAACACGTCGAACTGCACGTCGGCGCCTTCGCGCACACGACCCGCACAAATAGACGCGCCCCACACCACCGAACCCCCCCCCGCGTATTGTCTCTCTTGTCTCTATCCCGCAGCCCTTCGCCCAGTCCCTCCCCGTCTCTCAGTCCCGCACACACACACACTCTCTCTCTCCCACTCGCAGGCAGACGCCACTCACTCCGTCACTGCACTCGGCTCCCGCCGTGGGCGCCTCCGCCTGGTGCCCCTTCGCTGCGCCACACAGAAGCCGATTGTCTCTCCAGTCGTTTTGTTGTTGTGTCCTTCCTTTTTTTTCTCGTTCTCTCTCTCTCTCTTTGCTTCCCGGCCTTACTCCTCCTCCTCCTCCTCCTCCTCCT